TATATTAATAAAACCACCCAAATTTTGTGTTAATTAATTTAATAAATTCATCCATGCTCTACGGCTCTCAACTTAAGGATGATTCAATATTGTAATAATTATAGTACCAATATCAATTAAAAGAAAAATGCATAACCAGTACAAATATTTTAACGATTTTTGCTGATTCGGTAAAAGAACTTTCAAAACTCAATCTATGCCTGCGCATTTATTTAATTTTATAGATTATTTAACCAAAATTGTCCTACATAAAAATCCGTAAAGCTTGAGAGATTTTGCTTTATGAAAACGATTCGTATAAATTTATAATTAATTCTCACTGCAAAATTACCAGAGGCTTCAATTCCCAACAGAGCTGCATTAATTGTTCGTTCACTCTTAGAAGAAAAAGCGCACCATCAGTTAGTTCCTCGGCTGATTGCAGAGGCAGACGGCAAGTTCTCTGATAAATAATCTGAAGCATTAGCATTGCAAATGGACGGCGGAATGCACCGCCGTCGGTTGCGGTTGCAGATGCAGCAGGGGCTACCGGAGATCGATGCCTCGCGAGTGTTGTTCCGCCGCTCTAGTCTGCGTCGTGTGTTTCGAAACTGCTCATCAACTGCGCCCATCGACGCATTCACAGAGGCTAAGCGGATTATTAGATGCTTTTAAGATTGGCCTAAGCCGATTAAACCCGAATCGACGATCGCCTTTTTGCATAGAAGTGTTTCCCATGTAAATTAATTAACTTCCCCTTTGTTTACAAGTCTATTATAAAATATTTGAAATTGTATGTTTTATATTATTTCTTATTTTATGTAATTTCTAGAGTTGTTTCTGAATTTATAAACATCAGACCTGCCCCCCCGAGATAAATTAATGCGTTTGCTGCAAACACGATGAAGAATTATTCTCTCTTTTTCACTCTCTCGGTTATTAATTTTCCACTCTCTCGCTTTCTGTCTGTCTCCGACCAGGATTTATTATTTCGGCCGAGGTGCTGCTAATTTCTCGAGTGCTTGCTGCAATTAGGGGATTTGCTTTAGGGGACCATTATTGCTACAAGGGCTAGCTTTGCTAAAACGAGAATTATTGCTCTGCTACTCCACTCCGAGTGCTAAAAGAGTGAATAAGAATTGATTCGTTAACTCACCCAATCGAAACTCCGCAAATAACAACCCTAGAAAACAAAAAGAAGCAAAAGATATTTGTCTTTTAGATTGTACAAAAAATCAGTGCGAATTCACGATTATGTTCAATGAGCTTATCATGAATCTTTAATATTAGAGAAACGCTCTGAAATGTGTGAAGTTTTTTTGTATGGCGTTTTCAAATATCCAAAATATTACCATTTTATAACAATCAGGAAAAATTTGATTACATATCTTTTTTCCACTTCTAAAAAATGCAGATTATCCAAATTAAAAATATCAATAAACATGATTCGGTTTGCCTTTAGTAAAAAATCATTATTGCTTAAACAGATTCTTTTCCACGCTGCTTCATATCCTTATTAATTTCAAATTTAATTTGTTATTCCTGAACCGCAGAATTTTAAATAAACAATTAAATGTGTCAAAGCGAGACGAGGCTTAATTTCAATTATGGAATTACACGAATCAGGCAAAAATATTAATGTTATAAAATGTTGCCTGCGCAGCGAGCATGCATCGCATTCCTCTTTTTCCGCAGCTTAATTCACGTGGAAAAAAGTGGCACTCGCGTCGGCGTTTGTTAATTAATATCCGCCGCCGGCAACAATGACCGCGCGCGTGTGTGTTCGCGTGTTTATCCCTCGCTCTTTTGTTGCGCGACCCATGTATATGCCGGCGGTTTATTTATCGCGCGGTGGAAAAAAGTTAATGCCCGCACGAACAAACACAATCCATCTTTGAGCGGCACCGAGCGAGCAGTGTTTTAACTTAATTGGAAATAGCAGCAGCAAGGACCGTGCGCCTGTAGCAGAGAAATTAATTTCGGCGCGCCAGGTTGACGTGAACCCGGCGAAATAACAAACACACACATCTACGTCCGAGTTCGACCTGCTGACCGTCGACTTTTGACATATTCTGGCCAACGTGCATACGACAATCATCGTGCGTATTATACAAATTAATTTGTAGCACTCGACCTCTCACGGGAATAAACATTGGTAGAATCGTGGAATGCAAGCAAACATGTTAAATTAGTTATTTTTGACTCGCCTGAGTGCAACAGAACTCAATTTGCAGTTTGTACTTTTCTTACTGGTTCTTGTTCTTTTAATAAATTATTACCTCCTTTTTAATTCAAATGACACATTAAATTAAAATATACTAACTTTAGTACTGGTGCGACTGGAAAAAATACTATTTTCATAAATACCATCAATTGAATTTATGAGGATATTCCAGAATTTGAAAAATTTACAAAATAATTTTATAATTTAAAAATCTTAACATTTAAAAAGCTTTAATTTAATTATTTAAACAAAGGTAAAAGTATTTTTTCAATTTAAATTTAATAATATTTTAAATTAAAACATGTTAAAATTTATTTATTAACTAAAAATGTTAAAAATATAACAAATATTCAACAAAATATAAGTAATTTTTAACATTATTAGCCTAATTTTGTGTAAGTAAACTAAAAATATATGGCACCACCTAAATGTAGATATACTTTCAGCACAACACCCACGCGGCACGCGAATAATTTAAGCCATTGTGTGTTCGAACCGACAAAGTGCTCGCGTATTTTTGACCCAAACGTGCTGCGAATAGCAACAAAACAACAACCATTGAGCGCAGCCGGCGGAATCTGGCGCACGAACGCCGCGTTCAAACATATATGAATAATGTGCGTATTGATTGCGCGTTAAATTAAAGTACCGACATTCCGCCACAGGCCGCAGATCGCGTTGCAATTCGCAATTCGCGATTATTTATTTTGCGCAGCAGCTCGCATGGCGGGCCACCTGCCAACTCGACGTTTCGCTTCATCGGACTGCGAAAACAGAAAATTACGGAGGCGAAACTTTTTGTGGAAAAGTTCACTTGGGCGTGGGAATCGACGCCACCCGCGAAACGTCGACGGCAGAAAGATCGCGATTCAAAAGAGGCTTGATTAAGACGTCTCGCGTTTTATTTCAATGACGTCGTGATGAATGATGGAGCAACTTTCGCCAAGGCGGATTTCAAAGCAAAAGCAGAACATTGCGCTATTTTGCATTTAAACTGTGGAAACTGTTCGCCACAGAAAAGCGACACTTACTTATAAATTTAAAAAGGTCAAAGGTAGAGTTATTTCCTCAGTATTTTGAATATTTAACATTAGTTCAAATAAATTTATTATATTTAGTTTGCAACCAAGTGGGCAAAAATGTCATCAATTTTATTTGAAAAATAAATTTAAGTAAAATTATTCAATCTGATTTTGACTGCATTTGGTAAACATTAAATAAAAGAAAGTGTAAATATCGAATTTAAAATGTGAATTGGAAAGTCCAAATGTTCCCAAGAAGTTTAGGTTGCAACTTGAGTTCGTTCTGAGAAATAATTAAACGGTGTGCCTCGGCATTTGTATTGTGCCTTTGAAATCAAGGTACAAAGGAACCAAGGCACATTTCATTCAACAGATTGTTTGTCTGCCGCCTTCTTGAGGCGGATCAATATTATCAGATTACACTTCTCAGTCATCCAGGCAGACAGGTGTGCCTCATCCATCATTCTGCGGCTGCTGCCATGCTAAAGGTGTTTTTCCTGCTCGGAATGGGCGATTTCCCTCAGGTTTATTGCCTGGAGAATTGCTCGCAGTTCCAAAACTCGTTAGCAAGTTGTGTGTTGCTATTTTAGGAGAGCGTTCAAGCAAACTTAGCTTTGTGAATCGCACTTCAATGAATTTATATTGTTCTCAAATTTATCAACAAGTAGTGTCTCTGTGATAGACTAAAATCTTTAATAAAAAGCAGATGAAAACACCTGGCAAATTTTTTTTCAAATCCTTCAAATGTTTATATAATACAATAAAACCTACTTAATTTGTTTTAAATATGATGAATAAAACCTAATTTTCTAATTTTTAACTTATCCGAAGAGACCGTTTTCAGTCGTTCGAACGCTATTTAAAAATCATTAATATATTCAAAACTGCTTGTTCAAAAATTATGAAAATTTACACACTGACGCAAAATGACATGCCGCATCTTTTGGCTATCTCGGATTTTTTCAGGTTGCCTATCTCAAAGGGGCACAAAACTTAATATTTTGACCTTTTGACAGGTTCAATGACCTTTGACCTCGAAACTTGGTAACCATTAAGAAAAAATACACTGGTTCATTAGCTCCAACCTCCCACCAAGAAAATTAAAAAATCTGCATCTTAATTAATTTGGCAGCTGTTTTAGTAAACCCTTGTGTATCCCAGGCGGCCATGTTGGATTTTGAAATTTTTAAAAAAATTTTATTATTAGGTTATTGTAGAAACCCAAATATTAACCATCATGATATTTGATTGAAGAAATCAATTAAATCTCAAAGTGTTCAAAAATTTGCGTAATTGTCTCGGAAACGAGAAAAATGCAAAAACCGACGTTTTTCAACCTTCATTTTAACTTTTTTCAAAAATTTACGCGGTGACCCCCCATTTTCTGGTGCCAAATTTGTAGCAGGGTTGTCAAGGAATATGCTGGTGGGTCACAAACCCTTGCCAAAGGCAGTTTTGTTCACTTAAAATGCAATGAAACTATTTTAGTGAAAATTTCACATTTTTATGTTAATTTCAAATGCGTTTTTCTCAAAAATTTACGCGGTGACCTCAAATTTTCTTGCTATATTAATGATCCCTATGGTCCAAACTATTAGTTTTTGTGGAGGATTATGCAGCCCTAAGGTGTTTTCATCCTCTTTAATTTTTAAATTTTTTCCCGAATTATTATTCCTCTATTTGTTTTTTCTCCTGATTGAATGTAATTATATGAATGGAAATTGATCAAAAGTGCATGCAGTTGTTTTTGAAAAAAAAAATGATCATGCTCCTACCTCTGAGGACGTCAGGTAGCAGAGGCGCGAGTCGGCGCTCTCGACGGACGCCTGCTGCACGATGCCGTACCTGCTCTCGCGGTCGCTCAAATAGTCCGAAGACCTGAAGCTGTCCGTGCGGTCGAACATGCTGCTCCTGTAACACCGCGACCCTGATTAGTTGATCTGCCGACAAAGTGGAGACCTGGAAAGGGAGGAAGCCAGTGCCGTGCAGATGGAGGACAAAATAAAAAAAAAACAGTCAGCGCTTCAATTGCAACGTTAAATATAATCAAAAGCCGAGCGCGACAATTTAGTAGAAAATTAGAGCGAGACTCTGATTTGGAAAAATGAGCTTGCCAATTATAATCATTCGATCGATGATTGCAAAATGCAAAAAGCCAATGTGAGATATATTAAATTTGTCAAACGCCTCTAGAGAGAAATAATGTGATGGGGTGGAAACTTAAAGTGCGGACGCCCGGCGGGAGGGCGAGTGAAAAGGTCCCTCGCTCTGCCGCTGACAGCCGAACGTCCGACCGAAATTCCGCTCCAAAGGGACCTTGAATAAAAATCGTGTCATGCGCTTTCTGCACTCGACAGTTTGCAATAAGTCGATTGCGTTCGGAGATCGGAAAGTCCCCTGGGAGCGGAAAAGGTCAAAATTCACTTGCGAGAGAATCATCTTGGAATATTGCGGGTAGGGGTGAAGACTTGGAAAAGGAAAAACTCGCTGATTTGCAAGAGGATAATTTTATAATTTTGCTGTACAAAAAATATTTTTAAAGAATTGCCATGTAATAAAATTGTAATTGGTTTTATTAAATTATTTTACTGCTTTAATTAAAAAAAAAAAATAGAAAATTGAGAAATGAGCAGATTGATTGAGGTAATTTTTAAATTAGATTCCAGATTAAAAATTCAGAAGATGATGTTTTTAAACATAGCAAAAATCAGGTGGATCAAGGTATTTATAGTAAAGAAAAATTTAAATAAAAAAGAGCTCTACTTTTAATCACCCAGTTTTTCCTAGTCCAGCAAATTTCGGGGGTCGGGTACGTGGTGAGAATTTTTATGAATTTGAGATCTCATGCATGTTCACGCCAATAGAATGAGTAAGTAAAACTGTTTTGCTGGAACGGCAACACAACAGTGATAATATAATCGAATGGAGAAAACGTTTGATGTACAAAAACGGTGTTTATAAGAGCAGATGTTGGAGCATATTTACAATAATATCAAGAGATCATAGCAGCGCTTGCGAAGGTGAGTTCAAAAGTATAATGATTCAAAAAAACTCGGGGACATCAGCAGAGTACGACCGTGTCATTTACATGTATAAAATGATGTGGGTTTGAGTATCAGTGGGCTATGTACATGTTTATTGTAGAATAACAACAGAGTATACAGCAGAGTTGTTTCCGTATCTTTTATTATGTACACCTTTTTGGTTTGATGCAGACACAAACTTTGAACAATGTTTTGTCAGTGAATAAATAAATATGATCGACTGAAAGAGACATGCACATTGGGAAACAGCAGCAGGTTTTCAATCGTCCTGCGGTTTCACGAAAATAAACAAGATGATGTGTGAAAATTGATCGACCTCATGCCGTACACGGTTCGCCGGCGTTTCAATTATTCAATAATTGACACTCCCGCATACGCAGATAATGAATTTTTTTTTACCCACACACAATCATACAAAACAGGTCAGAGAACCATCAAAGTGATTTGAAAAAGGAAGATATAGAGGGAGAGAGACACTCTTGTGCGAGTTTGCGGGGGTGAAATGAGAGAAAGAGAGAGGAGATGAGATTTTCCGAGTGGAGAAGAAAAGTTGGTGTTGCGCATCTGGGGCATGCCGACGGGGACAATCGGGGGACTAAAAATGGGTCACCAACAGGAGGAGCGACTTCCGTCGATTTATTGTCCATTAAATTATATAGGAGAAGTGCAGGTCGGTTGGAGAGCATTGAAGAAAAAGAAAAAAAGGGGGAAGCAATCTTGTATTTTTGTACAGACCGAAAGTCGGCGAGAGGCGGAAAACGGAGATTTTGAAGGGAGATATGCTTATGGAAGATAATTATTTTCCAAGTGAAAAGTTTTCAATTTTCATCCATATGGAAATGAAAAACTTCAGGGCTTTAAAACAAAAACAAATTTTTTTAAGAAAATATAATATTTTTTAAGTTTAATTAAAAATGATTCTGTTGGATAGTGAATGGAATTTAGAGTTGGCTTTTCCTCGATGGGTTTTTTGAGATGTTTATTGTTTAAGAAAAAAATAAATATCCTGCTCTACATGTTTCGGCTGCGGGCTGCAGCCATAATTCATGAGATGTGAATTGAATTGAAATAATTTTGACAAAAATTAATATTACATAATTAATTTTATAAAAGTATTTTCCTCAAATGATCATCGATCTTTTAGAAAAATTCTTTTCAGCTACAATATTTTCACACATTATTTTTTTTTCTAAAATTTGACAATTATTGCTGAAAGTTTCTAGAATTTATCCTAAAAAAATTGATAATTAGTTTTTTTTTTTTTTTTTTTTTTTTTTTTTAGGGTCAGGCCAAGACAAAGTCTTGTCGGCCTGTGCCCTTTATTGGTGGTACAGAAGGCACCACCCAATTAATTTTTATTTATTTTTTTTTTTTTTGGGTTCAACTTTATTTAAAAAATCATCATTTTTTGATGACAATAATTTTATAATAAACTAATGTATTATACTAATTTTTGGCAAAATAATTATGGCTGCAGCCAAAGTCGAAACATTTAGAGCAGCATATTGTTTTCTTAAACAATAAACAACTCAAAAAACCCACCGAGGAAAAGCCGACTTTAAATTCAAATCACCATGAATCAACCCTCGATCGTGAACTTTACAACAAGATTATATTGGAGTTTTCGTAATCCATAAGAAAAAGTCAAATAATTAGCCTGCGACATTTTTTTTTGTTTTTTAAAAAAAATTCCGTGCTCAAAAAAATCTGCAAAAATATAATTTTTTTTATATTAAACAGGGTATTTAATAATCTCGATTTTTAAATGGGAAAAAATTCACGCCTGCATCTCTGGGAAAATCTAAAAAGCCAAACAGAGGAAGGTGGGTAATTTATTGAAGTGGCGGAAAGCGCAAACTTTTGGCTCCGACAATTATTCAAATAGTTTTATCCGCATGCAGCAAGACAGGAAAAACGTTTCGTCACGATTTTGCAGAGCGAAAACAAAACGCCAGAAGAGTGATCGCTCCATTTTTAGGAAGTGCCGAGTGAAAAGGGTTTTATTTTGCATGTTAACGTCGACGGAATTTCATTTTTTATGGGCGGAAAAAAGAAGTTCGTAAAAAAGAGTCGGGACAAACAAAATAAATAATGTTTCACAAAAGAAGCTCGGCGTGGACTCAATTTATCATATGACAAAAATAAAAAGGAGAGACATAGTAAACAAAGTGATGGGCATGAGAGGAAGAGCCAAAGATGGAACAGCCAACGAAAAATGTTCGTATTATGATCCAATAACAGAGTCAAAAACAATCTAATTTGCATGATGCACAATAAAAGAAAAAGGACGTCTCGGCCGGGACTGAATTTCGAGCAGATTGGCCATAACGCAAACGGGGGTGGGCAGGGGGTGGGCTGTCATGTACGAAACAGGGTTGCAGCTCAAGCACGGGCATTTCAGTCAGATGGAGAAGCACAAAGGCTCGCGGTTTCTTTTCTTCCGACGGCCTTTTGTGCCAGGGAAAGATAGAGAAAGAGAGATTTCTGAGAGAGAGACAAAACCACTTAGCAAGAGCACAGCTGATGGATGTACAAAACACTTGCACTCATTTTTGTGTTCGATAATATATTATTATATTTTAGTTCATCAGTCAACATAGTAACATAACAAGAGAGATGCATTACATATCAATTCAAAGTGAAATGAAAAGGAAAAACATAGTATAATGTGGCGGTTGCGATGTAGATTTTGTTTCGTAAATATTTATATATAGAGTTTTCTGTTCAGTTGATGCGGGATTGGGAAATGCACCTCTGATCGAAGGAGTCGGCCCTCGGGGCCAGGGCGGCCGAGTCGGTGAGGCTGCCGTCGCGGCGCAGGGAGGGCAGCGAGTCCCACGCGGTGCGACCGCCGCCGCCGCCGCCGCCGCCGCCACCCTTGATGGCCTTGTTGTGCTGCCGGGACCAGGCCAGCTGCTTGGCCTGGCGCGACGTCAGGTGCACCACCTGCACCTCCGGTTCGTCTGGTTCGTCGGGCTCGCTCTGGCAGGACGCGCACCTGCACCCCCATTGCTCGGTTAGAATTGCATGGGGCTACGTGTGTGCATTCATTCGAGTGGCTCTCCTCGGGATAACGACGACCCCACCCTCTAATTCAACTTTTGAAAATTTCAAACAGTTTAAGAACTATTTGAAGGAAACCATAAAGTAAAAGCTATCAAGTTTACGAAATTTAATTTGTTTAATGTTTATTAATATTATGAGAATTGTCTAATTGTTGAAAAAAAATAATGAATTTAATAAAAAGGGAGGGAATGTAGTTCACATTAAAAGCATTGAATTGTTGGAAAAAGATATTTTGCTAATTTTTACAAGTTTAAAAAGACCACATCAGCCGCAGTGAGCCACACGCTTACGATTGAATTATAAAGTTTCTATTTTAAAAGAGTCGCCGTTATTTGTCCGACATTTTTTTTGTCAGAAAACAGCATTTTGCATTTGTCAGAAAATAAATTGTCAGAAAATTATTCATCAGAAAACCTGTTTTTCAAATGTCAGAAATTCAAAAGTAAGAAATGCTATTGTCAGAAATTTTTTAAAATTATTTTTATTTTTCTATCATCTTTCTAGTATCTCTTGCAAGAGAATTCTCAAACACTACCATTTCTGGAATTTATGGAATCCTGAGGCAAAAGACGCTTTTTTTGGCGATTTTAAATGTGAGTGCACTCTGAATGGCCAATAGCAAATGTGCTCCGTCAATAATATTTAGATTTATTATTTATTTATTTATTCTCCATTCAATGATTTGATGTACAGTCATGAATACACAGCAAAAAACTATACGTAAAAAGTACAGAAAAAGCTGAAAATGCTGTTTTTGAAATTCTAATTTTTTTTGTACTATTTAAAAAAGATTTGTATACAATTTTAAATTGTTGTATTATTTTTACACTCAAGATTTTATATAGTGTTTTTAATTATTATTATTTTCTTTTTTTATTTCTTTAGTCAAGTTTTTAAAGATTATGAGTAACTTTACTGAATTTTTTGGAGAAAAAACCTTTTTTATTAGTATAAAAAAAAATTTATACTGTATGCATAAAAATTTTAGTACATATATTCAATTTGAATTATACTGTCAATAAATTTAGTGTCATCTGCCATGAAAGATATAGTTAAGATCGTATGCTTTGTTTTAAATTAATGCATTTATAGGGATCTAATGCTGATTAAAATAATTTTTAATTTTCACATCTTATGAAGGCTGTTCTGCTCACAAAATCAGAATCAAGAAATAATAACATTTTTGCTATCAATAAGTTTAGATTTTAGTCCACTTCACGTAAACCTAAACCTGTGCGCAAGCAAAAGCGTTTGCTGATAAATGAATTTCTGATAAATGGATTTCGGATAAATAAAAACTGTTGTTCTGATAAATGATTTCTGATGAATAATTTTCGGACAAATGCCGAAAAAAATTTTGGATGTCTTTTTTTCTGACAAATAAGGGTTTCCCTTTTAAAATGGTTAGAAATGCTAAAAATAAATATATTGAAATGATAAAATATTATTTTTTAATTTATTTCTTGTTTATAAACAATTTTCCAAATGGAAAGTGGTGGAAAGTTTTATTTTTCCCGGGTAGAGTTCCTAAATTAATTAATTTTTGTATTCGATTGCTATTTGAGACTTGTGCACACATTCGAGAATGTGGCTAAATTGTTCAGAAAAATTTTCATCCAAAAATATTTCCAATGCAATGTAAATATTTGCTGTAAAAATTACTTTTCGTAGCAATCAAAAGCACTGCAAATAAATCCCAACCACTTTTTCCGTCAAAAATTGAATAATTTTTCCACATTTCTCGCGGAATTTAAGCGATTCATGGATCAAAAGCAGATTTGCACAGTGGCAGGAAGCGGCGTTTGATGATTAATTTTGAACGTGCGCGGCCAAATTCAATTATGCTCGCTTTGACGGATTTTGAATGCAAATCCGCTGCCGGTATAATTTATATCCGCCAAGCGAATTAGCTATTACCAGCCGCTGATTGTGTGTTAGAGTTGTGTGTATGCAAATCGCAATAAACTTTGATATTTATGGCGCGACGGGGATGTTTGGATTAGGGCGGAGAGCAACGTACGCTCTCTGCTGTTTCATAACTCGTCGCCAAGTGTCTGCTGAAGTTCAACAAACTTGCATGGCAAACACGAGCTTTCTCAAGTTAAAATAAAGAGGAAACGCTTACAGATTTTTTCCTTCAACAATATCAGCAGATCATCAAAGCTCGAAGTTAAGCAAATTTTTTTTAAATATATCAACTTTTTTATTATTAACATTAATTTAGAAGTAAACAAAAAACGTTATTGATACGAATAAGGGATGAAGGCACAGAACATTTTTATCGGAAAGCGGATTTAGCCTAAATGGAACGCGTGCATGTCTATAATCAACCAACAATGTGTTTGAGTGGAAAAGTGAAAATATGTTATTGGGCGCGACATCCTCTTGAGAATAAAGCATTGCTTTTGACGTGGTTATCCCGTGAGAAATTTATCCATTGTAATAAAGTCTATTTGTATTTAAAATTCCTTTTTCCTTGTTGAAAACAATAAATAAAACCTTTTTTCTTAATATTAAAAAAATATAAATATATATCATAATAATCATTTCCCTCTCAATTCTCAATGTTGTAAAATATTTGCTTGAAATTCAAATTCTCATATTTATTTTCATGTACATACCAATTCATGATTTCGATTATCCAGGTGGGAAAGATTTAGCCTTTCCATACACTTCTTGTAATGTATATGCATACATGCCTTATTAGTTCAGAGTTGAAAGATTTTTATTTATAATTATTTCATTTAAGTACATTTCAATAAAAATATGAAAAATTATTTTAATTAATAAGACATTAATAAAATATTATTAAATAAAAAACTAAAAATTATCATTTTAAAATTGTTTAAAATGTATTTTAATTGTTTTCAACATCGGTTAACTTTTAAAATTCTTTACTATTTTCTTTAACTTTTTAAGTGCAAATTTGACAAAAAATTTAATAATATTCCTATAGAAAAGCAAAGAGCCTATAACTATTGTGAGTAATTTGACGAAACACATAAAACTTGCAACTAAACAAGGAGCAATTTTAGTTGTAAACGCAGGAATAAATTAGAGTATTTCAATCGCTGCTGTTATAAACTTTATAAAATTAAAGAAATTTGGTGCCGTCCCCTCATTAAAACTGTGAATCTGAAACTTGAGAAACCAAACTTTTTTTTCTTTAACAGTTTTAAATCATTGATACGGGCAAAAATTTTGGCTCGCAAGATTAATTTAATAATGAAAAATTCAAATAAAGTATTCATAAAAATTTCTGCTTTTTTTACTGGATTGCATGCTTCATAAATTTTGTGCAAAATGATTTTTGGCAGAATTAAACGCAATTTTCCATTTTTGTTCCAGTCGCTGTTAAAAAAAACGAGAACACTTTAAAAACTCATTAAATCCGGCGGGCACTTGAAGAAAAAATCTTTGCATTTATTTTTCGCGCTGAATATCACCGACTTGAACACGTTATAACGAGAATCCCGTCTCTTGCTGAAAAACAAGAAAATATGTGTTTTTTATTTCCAGCTGACGCTTGCTTTTGACACACATACATTTAAAAATATATACGAGGAGGATTTTGGTCGGAATGACTGCGAGCGGTTGTTCCGCGAACGTTCGGCGCCTCTGCCAGGCCGACGGGTCGATAAAACCAACCATTCCGTAGTTCATCTGCCCCAGGACACACGGCGCTGATGCTACAATGCACCGGCAACTGATCATCTCTCTCTCTGTGTGTAATTATCAGCCGCGCGTTCTCCATATTATCAAACCAAACTAATCTGCTGGTTTCGCTCTTGTTATATTAATAATGATATGGGACGCAGTCACCGCGAGAACGCGTATATATCGGAAAGCGGATTTGGCCTAATGGGAACACGTGTAATAATCATCCAACAATGGATGTTTGAGCGGAAAGTCATGGATATGTTATAGGGCGACGACCTCTTGAGAATATGGCATTGCTTTTGACGTGGTTATCCCGTGAGGATTTTATCCATTGTGTAATTAGTCTTATTTGTATTTTAAAATGCTTTTTCCATTTTTTCGAAATGAGAATAAAAACTTCTTCGTGAATATTAAAAAAAAAAACTACTAATGCATGTTGAAAAGCCTTCCCTAGAGCTTTAATTTGTCATGTTTATTTTCATACTAAGAATTTACATATTTATGACTTGATTCAAAAGGTACAAAAGCTGTAAAATTAGATTTATTTATGTTTAACTTTAATTTGAGAGGTCTTGTTAATATATAATTTTTATCTTGAAAGAAGGTATTAATAACAATATTAAAAGAAATATACAAATATCATATTTTAATTGATAAAAACATAATTTAAATCTCATTAAATAAAAAACTGCTAATATTAATATTGTATAATAAAATAAAAAAAATATAAAATATTAATTATTGCATTATATATATGAACTTTACCAAAAGTAAAATTATATAATTTAAGAGTTTAAGATTTTTAATAAATTTTTTTTATATCCCTTTAGAAGAGCCACGAGCCATTGTATCCGACGTGAGTCTCCAAACTTGATCATAACCCACAGACTTTTAAACAAAGAAATTGTCTTGTTTGTGCCAAAAGTGTGTGTTTTCATTCTTTCTTTCGCTGTTTTATCTGCTGAAAGGGTCTTTCAAGAAGTTATTTTTCCGTTGCTACTCTAAACGTTATTATTAGAAAACTTGGCGCACTTCTTTGGTCTGCGAGGAGAAAAAAAAAACCAGTCGCTTACCTGGAGTTGTGGTCGCTCAGGTAGCCGCGGTCCCGTTCCCGCTCTCGAGCCAACTCGTTCCGGTCGCTGTAGTAACCGTCGCGGTCGCGATCTCGCTCGCGTGGCTCGCGGGCTGAAGCCGGACGCTCCGGAGCCCCGCGATTTGGCAGTGGCAAGGTCGACGATTTGTTCAAACTGGCACTGCTTCCAGGTCCTGAAATGATCAAGGAGATTTGTTTGAAATAAAATTGATATTTAAAGAGCACTTTGGGAATTTTTGTTCTATGCAATTCTCCAAATTTACTTGATTTAATTTTCATTGAAAATTTAACGAAGATAATTAAGATAAAATTGAAGCAGAAAAATAGAGATTTATGATTGGATTTGTAAAATTTGTATAGTTGAAAAGTAATAGAGTTAGTTCATTATTTATAATAGTTGCCAAAATTTAAATTTAAATTTAAACACAAATATGCAGTAAATGCAATTAATGTTTCATTTAAGAAGAGAATAATTAATAATTAAAGAATTTCTATTACAATTTTTTTTTTTTAAATTACAAAAGATCAAAACAAATGAAAAAAAGCGTTTAAAAATTTTCATTTATTTGAAGAAATTGACACTCGAGGAGATGATCATGGTAGAGATTGGGTTTTTCCACGTCCACATTTCATTTATTTTATATTTTGGCTTGAGGCTTTGCATTTATTCACTGCTTGATACTTTAAATACTCCTAGAAAAACTTAAGCGCTATAGTTGAATTTAAACTACTGTATTGTTAATTTTTAATTTAATCTTAACCTGTTCTTTTAATAATTCGGTTTATTAGAATTTCAATTGAATTAATTAAATAAAGCACCGGCCAATAACTCAGATTGGAGTTGACCGGACTTGTAAAACTTCCTTTAAAATAAATAAACCTTAATTAAAAAAAAAAATTAAAAAAAAATTATTCATTTGCTTTCTCATATATATGCTAAAAGTGAAAATCAGTTTTGGTCTTCATAGTTTTGATGTTGATTGGATTGATGTTGATTGAAAGTTTTAAAGCATTTTTTTTTTTAATTTCAAAGAAACATAAAAAACATGATAATAATTATATAATTTATGTTCTTTATTTCTTTCAACACATACTTGAACCATCGTAAATGGGCGAGAAAACGAAAATTATATTCGTCACGAGATATTGATTTCCTGTGGTAAAGAAGTATAGGCACGAGTGAACTTCTGCAACAATTTCCTCCATTGCTTGCGACATTTCTATCGGTTTTGCCTCTCTTCCTTTATCGAGAACAGCTTAGCACTCACTGCTCTTATGTATCTATCGCCGAGAAATCAATTATTGGATCTCTTCTGGCAACTTAATCCCGAGAGGCGACGACGGAGAACGCTCTGGCGTGCAACAGAAATTGTCAGAGAAATGTAAACGGCGCCCTCACGTCGACGGCAGCTTCCTTTACGTGCCATAAATTGCATTCTGTGTAACGTGATCCAAACGGAAAATATGGCGTTCGCGAAATTAAACTTTGCTGCCAGCAACATTTACATTGAATTTATGCGGATTCCGGTGTAAATCATCACGGGGTGAAAAATGGAACAATGTTTCGCACCGGATGCAGAATTCCGTTCCGCTCCGACGCACTCCAACTGATTTTAACTTTATTTATTTGCAAAGTGGGTCACGACTTTTTTTTCTCAATTGTTCGAACTTTGCAGCGCACTGCATTGGTGAACGCGTTGTGCTCCTCCATGTGGAAGTGATTCACGACAATCAGATTCGCAACTTTGCAAAAGAACTCATTTGTGCCTTGGAGCGCGAAATATTGATGCTATCGCCATTTGCAATCGCTGCACTCAGCCGCAGTCTTCCAAGTAATTCTCCAAATGCACTTCAATCGGAAAAGTGCAATGCGATAAAAAAAAAAAAAAATAACGGGAGCTATAAAAAGGGTCGACCTGAGGCTAGATTTGTCGGAAACACCTTTGCAGGGAAGAAAAATTGCGTAAGAACATAAAATATGCTTAATTCTTCAATAAACATCAATAAATATTTAATTATAATAAATAATTTAAGATATCCAATTCAGGACAGAGAATTTGTTTGAAAAATTGAAGCCGAGCGAACCTCGTTGCAAAGAAAAAATAAAGGACAACTGACCTCAAAGGCGACCTGCGGTCTGCTGGTACTTTATTTTTTCATTTTTTCTTTGCAACGAGGTTCGCCCGGTTTCAATTTTTCATGAAATCCACCTCAAGTGTTACCATTTAATTTGAGAATTTGTTTATTTTAATTAATTATTCAATTAATTTTGCCTTTCTCATTCAATTAAATCCTTCTTAGAACATTTTTTATGTCATGGCTGATGACAATTTTTATTAATTAATTTTAACATTTCACAGGCGGACTTAATTAAAAAAATTCAATCATGAATTAAAAAATTTGAACTGTTAAGAAGCACAAAAAACTTTGATATTTGTTGTTTTAAAGAGTATTATTTGAGCATCAATAGTTATAGGTAACTGATTTTTTTTTTAATTTTGCTACAAATCCAATCAATTTGTCTGCATTTTGAATGGAGAAAAAAATTAAATGATCTACTTACGTCTCCTCGCTGGATACGGGCTGCGCTGATTGGAGGTGGGCAGGTTTTCAGCAAACTCTGTCGGGAAAAGGGCGACAAGTTATTTTCAGTCGCAAAAACAAAGCCAACTGTCGAGCACAAAAGTAATGGATCCGCACGTATTTGTTTATGCCAGCGCGAACAGACACATTTAATTAATCGCAAACACTTGAGCTAAAAATGTCGTTGCCGAGCAGATCAGCCGAACCGATCGCGAAGTGCCGGACGGCGGGATTTGCAAAGTGGGTCAATTGTTTGCCATTCAAATGGACGCGCAACGTTTCGAATGCACTGCAAACAGACAGCGCAGTGCATTATGCAAGTGCGCGCGCGAATTGTTTTGGAGCTGTAATTTAATTAGCACGGCAAAGGAACGTACCTGGCTGCGGGCGGTGCAATAATTAGACTTGGCCGTGTCACGTTTGCATTGTGCTCGGCTAATTAGGCGTATCTGACTTGCGAATCTGCTTTCATCTTTATTATTTTATGTGGATTTAATAAAAAAAAAATAATTATGGTTCATTTTAATTTTGTTTTTCAGTTCGGAAAAGCTGCAAATTTTTTTCAGTTAATTTAGTTTACATTTACAAGTTTATGTTCCAATAAAATAGATTAGGAGCTACAAAATAAATTAATTAAGTGCCATTAAATTTGAACTGTTTTTATCTGTTGTTAAGAAAAGATTCATGAAGCTTCCAAAAGTATTTTAAAACATATTTTATGGAACCAAATTTTCACATTGATTTTCTATTTCTGTAATCTCAATGAAGCATATGGAATGAAAAGCAAATATAAAGAAAATTTGCAAATATACTAATTTTATGTGTTCATTTGATAAAAAAGGCACATTAAACTTTTTAATAAAAAAAATCAACAAAACAAGAAGTTAAAATTACATGGAAATGAAGAGATCGGGCTTTTCCTCGTTGCAGAAAAATTGTTTTTATTCAAAAACAATTAATGGCTCTACCAGTTTCGGTCACGGTCTGCGACCCTATTTCATGAGAAATTTCTTGCTCGTGACCGAAACTGGTAGAGCCATTTGTGTTTTTTGAATAAAAACAAATTTTCTACAACGAGGAAAAGCCCGATCTCTTCATTTCCATGATTCATCTCCTCGAGTGTGAACTTCTTCAAACAAAGTTAAAAATTACACTGCTTTATATTTTTTATAATTAATTGTCCCATTAAAATGAATCTAAATTTTTTAATTTTGAATTGATGTAAAAAAAATGTGTATTATAAACAGGGATTTATTAAAATTTATGATTTTGGTTCTCGATATTTCAAATCGTGTAAACGCCCTCACTAAATATTTGACCTTTCCTGTTGAGTAAAAGTAAAAAAAATTTTGTTAATTTGTTCGGTTGCACGTTTGAAAACTCCAAATAGCGACGACTTGTCCTGCTTCCATCTAATTCCAGCACTCAGCGTGAATTATTTATAGTCGGAGGCGCATTAACGAGGGAAACGCGCGGCTTTCCAAAGCCAACTTACGCACCCAACGTTATTCTCGCGTTGGCATAATCATACACGACAGTTGTGCTGACAAGGGACACAGACACGAATATAATGCGATAAATATTTATAAACATAATAGAACATCCTTAGTCAAACTGTGTATGTACACGGGGAAAGTGACAAAGGGAGTGCGGCGGCGAATCTGTACAAGTTCACTCTGCGAAAAAAGGTGCGGACGACCATAATATGTACGTGAAGCACAAAGAAACAAAAAAGTATGCTAATGAGACACATGCGTTGGCAAAATTAAAAGCTCAAAGCGAGCCGCCTCGCCGCCGAACGGGCTCTTTTGAGTCTTTTGGAAAAGCGGAACAACACACGCCGACCCGGCCGGCTCTGCTGTGTAAATTCGTGTGTGTTGATTGGATTAATCGTTGCCGCTTGCTAATGAGCCAAGTGAGTCGCGTGCCTGCCTGCATGTCAAAGAGCACCAATTAGCTGTTTGTCTATTACGCTACTAATCAATTAACAACGTCGCAAATTAATTTGCCTGCTGTCTGCTGATTCTAAATATCTAAAGTGCAAAATATAGATTCTGAATTGTGCAGAAATTAATTTGTCTGTACACGTGAATATTTGTCATTTAAATACTCGCGTAAACAAATTTATGAATATATTATTATTATTATTATTGATCTTTATTGACGTATGAGGCGTCACCACGATGTATTTACTCATTGCGACGCGCCTGATTTGCAACATAGTAAAAAACAAGTAGAAAATGAGAGTAAAAAAGAACAAAAATATTACAATGTATCAATTAGTTGAAAAAACTCTTATTTGCTATAAAATTTATGTGAATGAACAAATCGCCTCAAACTACTTTCAAAAATCTTGTATCGAGGCTCTAAGTGAATCGAAACAGGCAATTTGTTATACAAAGCAGCTGAACAAGTCAAAGGGTTCTGCTTAGAAATTAACAAAGTCTGAGCAGGAACCTACAAATCCCTTTTTGCCCGTGTCTGATAATTATGAACTTCACTTGTTTTTTGAAAATAGTGCGGATATTTACGAACAAATTTACACGAATAAAATTGTTAAAAAAAACATTACGTTGATTTTGAAAATTATTATCAAAAATCGATCAATCACGGTTTTGACAATAAGAAAAAAAATGTTATTTCAGGATATTTATCTTTCCTCTTTTGCTCATTGAAACGAAAAAGAACACAAGATCTGAAAGAGAGAGTGCATGACCAGCAGAAAGCAGCGCGCCAAAAAAGCAAACGAGCGAGCTTGATAGACATATTTGTACAAAAAAAAAAAAACAGCAAATGTAATGTGAGTGTATTTACACGCAACCCTGCATCCAAGCAGTGACCAGAAAGGAAACAGCTCGAAAAACAAACACAAACCAGCTCAGCAGGCAGGCAAAAAGTTTATCTGTTGGTACTTTTTTTTGTTTTAGCAAATTTATGTGAAATGTATTTATATTTTTATGAATTTTTTTTAAAAAAGGAAGAAATTGCAGCTCGTGTCGTGTGTGTTGCTGGACGGCGGGGAAAGAAAGACACACCGGTGGGGGACGGACAGGTTTACTGGACATGAGGAGTACCTCCGGGAATGCTTCTGGTCGAGGCCTGTTTGTGGTTGTGGTGCTTGGCTTGGCTGCAGCAGGTCCTCTTGCCCGTCGGCGGCTTTTGCCCTCCGGACGCCTGCCACGTGGCGTTGGCCGCGGCCACCGAGGTCTTGGCCGCCGGCCGCCGGCCGTGAAGGTGGGAGTGAGGGTGGTGATGGTGGTGGTGGTGGGGGTGATTATTGTTGTAATTATTGTTGTTGTGCAGGTGTCGGTTGTTGCTTGCCTCATTCCAAATGGCGGACTCTGAGGAGAGCAGCAGGTGCATGGGACAGAGAGAAAGAGACAAAAATTTGAGATCAGAGCGGCTGCTGCGGAGCCCACCAGAGAGGGAGTCTGTTTTTTCCTCTACTTTTAATTTACTGAGAAATAAGCGGGAGAGACTTGGCTAGTTAGGCTTGCTTAGAAATTCTCCGGAAACAAATCACACTCTATACTTCTTGAAAGGGTCGTTTGTCATTCCGAGTGAGTTAATTTGTTAAAAAATTTACAACTCGTGAAAAGAGTGAAAGACGCGGCACGTTTCGCAGCGGTTTCGAGTGCGGTTGTCAGACGTAATGAGGTGTTCTGCCTACAAAAATGCGCAGAGTCTGCGGGTGAAGTGACGACTGCTAAGAGAAGCTAATTTGCAAGAAAAAAAAAATGCTTGGGGTGTGTTTTTTAGAACCTCGTTATAATGAAAAATTCGAGCCCATAGAAATGTGGAGAGAGCGAGAGATAAAAAGAGTTTTGTCTTTATAGCTTGACTCGTCAGCTTAATCTGCATAAGAATTTAAGTCATTTAAGTGATTCTTATCAAATTGTAAATATTTAAGTTGAGCCCAAATCAAAACGATTAAAGAAAATATTTGTATACAGTTTTCTTCTAAATCAACAAAATTTAATTAATCATGTTCAAGGAGGAAAAAGTCATCTAAAATTGTCACTTTATAGAGGTTGCATAAATTCCAAATTGCAAAAAATTATTGTGTAATTCACCCCTCTTTTGTCTACGTGATTGAAAAAATGAAATCGATTTGCCGATGCTGAAAAGCCCCACTTATAGAATAGAAAAGTAATTTATTTCAACAAAAGCTCAATTTCGTCAGCGTCGAGCCAACTCGGCTGCATTGTTGTGGTTTGAGTGCCACACGCGCCGAATTTTACGTCAACCTCTGCATATAAAATTGTCAAAATAAATTCGATGGGTTTCAGAAATATTGATGAAATTTGGGAATGATTTATTAGTGAGCGGAAAGTCGCTCTGATTGCTGAGGTTCTTTGGCGGGGTTTATTATTTACACCTAAAAGGCTTCTCTCCTGAAAGGAACGCGTGACACGCGTCGGTCGTAAAGAAACAAGTGTGTCAGATTTGTTTGCGTGTGATTCAGAGCAAGGACCAAATAATATAAATAAAAAATTAGACAATCTATGGAAAAAAGTGCAACAAAAAACAAGTGCCGTGTCCAATAGAGAAAATATTTATAATAGAAACGTCTTAAACATGCCAAACAACAGAAGAAGAAGAAAGAGTGGCTGACACTGGGAAAAATAAGTTCAATCAGGAAACAAAGATAATTAAATGGGGCATTTAGAGATATTTATAAACGGCTTTTAGAGAAATAGGACGAACATAAAGTGAGATACATTTTTTTAGACCGAAAACCTCCCTTTCTCCAGGCTCACGCTTAAATTTGGGCATTGTTATGTACAAAAAGATGAGGTCTCGGTTTGGGAAAAATTTTAATTGGATTTGTTTAGCTTTGGATTCGGGAATGTTTATGAAATGACCTTTAATTATGTCTGCTGAAGAAACAGAACAATTTCAATCTATCCAAATTGGGACTGTGTAATTTGCGCTGATTTTCACCAAAAACTGGTGCTATTTAATTTAATCCAAATATATTGAACCATCAAAATAAAGTAATTCTTTAAATTTTGAATTACACAAGATCGCGCTTAGTTTTAAATTTAAATTGCATTCAAAAATTACAGAAGCAGATTAAAGGTCAATTCGAAAGGCGGTTTGAAATTGTGTGAGCTCGTGCTGATGATGTAAAACCAGCCATAAAGAGCAAACGAGCGAGAGAGCCTCTCAAATATACAAATCCCATCCAAGCAGCCAAAGAATGAAGCAGTCAGCAGAGGCAGCGAGCCAAGGTTGGCACTCACCGAGGTTCTCCATGCTCTGGGTGAGCAGCGCCTCGAACGTGTGCAGACTGTACGACTCGGCGTCCATGCCCTTGGCCAGCGTGTTGCGCAGGTGCATCTCGTACTCGAGGAGGAGGCGCGAGGTCGGCGAGCCCGGCGTGCTGGCGCTGTTCGGCTGGCCCTGGGGCTCCATGTCCGAGTTGTTGCCGTTGCTCGAGCTCGGGGTGGTGGCGTAGCACTGGTTGTCGAACAGCACGTTGTCCGAGGGGGGCGAGTTGTCGCCCCGTTCGCGCTCCAACTCGAGGTACAAGCCGCGTCCGAATTCGTGCGCCGACCGCGAGTTGGAGAAGCGGGCGCTGCCGGCGGCCGCGGACGCCGGCCGGTGGTACGGCCCGCCGCTCTCCGGCTCGGACAGGAAGCTGCTGCCCATGTCCTGCCGCTGAATGTGGCCGTGGTGGTGGTGGTGGTGGCCGCCGCCGTGGTGGTGCCGATTGTAGCGCCGGCGCGACATCTCCGGAGAGGTCACGGGACTCTCCACCTGCCAATGTGCACGACATGGTTAAATAATTTCTATGGCTGCGGGAATTTTATTATTATTCGTCGCGGCGGGGATTTTCATTAACGCTGATTTTTTTTTCAGTGACGTGCAGACGCGACGGGGTGATTATTTTTTCGCGTGGGGGTAGAAGAGGGAGGGAGTTTGATTGATGATTTCTGCGGTACCTGGGGGGCATGTGAAAAGTAGATGGTGATTTCAAATTAATTGAACTTGAATGCAATGAATTTTTTGCAATGTTGGAGGTGGAAAAGATTAATGGAAAATTCTGGCAGTTTTATTGAATTTCTATTCAATATTTGTGTGAAGATTTTGCAAAGGGATTATTTTCAAATGTTTAAAGTATTAATTTCTGAATTCTGAAAAAGAAAATTGAAGCCAATTAATGGGTTTAAAATTATACATTATACTTGAAGATTAAGAAAAATAAAACAAAATTATTTTGTGCTAATAAATTTTAAATAAATTTCCCTGCACTTTTGAAAATTATCCTGTTTGTTGGAATCAAAATTCAGAAAAATTCATTTTACTGCAAGGGAAACATGAAATAGAAGATTTATAATAAAATATTCTGGCAATTAAAGCAATTAAAAGTTTGATTCTAACTGAACCAGGATATCGAACATTCCCGATAATTCAATTCTCGTATATATTCATAATTCTCACATTATTATTACAAATATGGACTCGCTTCATGGAAATGTATCAATTAAAATTTATCCTGATATTTACGAATTCTACGGTGTGAATAATGTAAAATAATTATGCAATGTTAGGCCTAAAATTGAATTATTTGAGCTTTGATTTGAAATTGCTCCATATTAGGAGTTGGAGACTCAAAATATTCAGAAGATGGTTTTAAAAATTAAATTGAATATTGGCCATAAAGGATTCTTAATTTAGTGAATTTGAATTTAAGCGCATGTTTCGATTTCAAATGCAAATCATTACTATGGACATTGGCTTAAGAAAAAATGATTAAAGCTCACAAAAATAAAATTGTGAAAATTATTAAAAAGCTTGATATATTTTAATTGAAATTAATAATTGAAAACTGACCGAGGGCATAGGCTTGAGCATTCGCTTGAGCGTGTTGCTGTCGAGGCTGATGTTGCGCTCGTTGGCGAGCGTCATGTCGTCGGTGCTCTTGCTCTTGGCACGTTTGTGTCTGAATTCGTCGTCGCGCGACGTCTCCGCGTCCGAGTAGTACTGCTGCTTGAGGTCGTTGAGCTGCTTGTTTCGTCTGGTGCCGGGCTGGGCGTTGCCGCCCGGCGGCGGTTGGCGTCCGGCGCTCGTCTGCTGCGTCGCGTCGCTCGTGGCCGTTTGCTGCGCGGCGGCCACGTGGTTGGCCGCCTTGGCCGCGTCCTGCGGGGTGGGCTGCGAGTTGCCGCCGACGCCACCCGAACGCTGCTGACGCATGCTGCCGTACGCTTGCTCGCCGCGTTTCGGCCCGCCCTGCACGTTGTCGTACAGGGAGGTGCTCGAAGTGGCGGCGGCCACTTTTTCGCTGCGGGTGGTGCCGTCGTCGCCGGACGCAGAACGCACGGATTGTGCGCGTGGAAGAGTTGAAGAACCTGCAAAAATTACAATTTGTTTAACTAATTTGTTTTATTCTAATTTCGTAATTTCATTTCTTTTTTCAAAAATAAATGTTTTTCAACCATTTGTTTGCAAACAATGTGATGTAACAATTTGGACGAATAAACAACAATAATAATAATAACAAAAACTTATTCAAATCAAATCAATCATCAATAAAAACTTATTATTATTTCATTTTTATACTTTAAAACAAGAAAAATATTAATATAAGGAAACTAGTCTTTTGAGAAGAGCAAAAGTCCACTCCCTTAATTAGGGGAGAGGGTTGAAGCTCAATAATCCAAATATTAAAAATTGTTATGGCAAAAGTAGAACTTCATATCAAATATCCTTTCACTATTGTTTGGTGTGACATTTTTTAATTATTGTAAATTTAAAAAATCTCTTTACAGCTTTGTATTACATCAAAATTGAATCAAAATTTCTAAATTTAATTTTGATGGTTTGCGCTGTCAAAATTTATTGCAATATACTAATGAAAATTATAATTAGATGGTGATTTTCAATTTTAATTAAAATTGTTCACCTCATTTCAGTGTTACTAAAATTTGGTAATAAACTTTACAATTAATTGTTCTTGAGGTATACAAAATTTTAAAAATTGGAAAAAGAGAAGAAAAGGTTTTAAATCTAGCAGAAGTTTTGAAGTATCCAATTAAATTTTCACAGTTATTACGCGTGATGCATACTTTTTATTTTTTTAAATTTGAAATGGCCTATCAATTACATGGGTGGATTTAATAAAAAAAAAAAATCCCATGGAAATATAATTTTTTTCTATTTGTTTCAATTTCATGTTTTAATTTTATTTTAAGAAATAAAAATGTTGAAGCCATCCTTTTATAAATTTATTTAATAAAGTAATTGTTATTAAATATTTATTTTTCCATACGTGCTACTTTATATTTTTATTTATATAAATATTGTAATTATTTTAATTTTTAGCATTTTTTGTCGATTCTTATAAAATTTTGATAAAATAGTTTACAATTTTTAAGTATTAACTGCATTATTATTAACAGGTGTGCGTTTAAAATTTAAATAAATAATTTTATACCATTCAAGTGATTAGAGCCAAATAATGGCTGAAATGGAAATCGTTGAGTTGGAAATTCACCTCCGACGTAGTAATATTTGTATTGTGTGAATTGATATTAAAAAAAAATTTGAAGTGAATGGATAAATTAAACAGTTGTCACAGGATTATTTGAAACTGAATTATATGAGCTGGCAAGAGTATTTCAAGAAAGCCAAGAGAAGAGTTTAGCGCAATTCAGCTGATTATTGATTGGTCTGGAGCGCGTCTTGGCCAGATTAAAAATTCACAAGACACACGCCCCGAAGCATCTGCCGTAAAAATATTTACGACTCCCCTATCTATCCATTAGGGCGGCGTGATGAATAACTAATGCCTCTGGGCAGCAGATGCGAAAGAAGCCTCAGGTTTTACTTTTGTTTTATTTGTTGTCAAGAGTTTTGAATAAAGAACGAGCGTGACTTACGATAACGCGGGTCTTGGGCCCGCAGTCGCGCGTATTGTTCGGGGGTCATGCAGGTGCACTGGGGCTCCCGTGACCTCGAGGGCGAGGCCGGCGTCGACAGCGGCTTCCTCTTGGCTTTCACCTTCTGTTTCGGCGGCTCCAGTCGCAGCGAGTACGACGACGAAGCCTTGCGTGAGAACTTAAACGACGGCGACTGCAAAAGAAACAGAGAGTCAGTGACAGTGTCGAGCACCACAAATGTAAAAATAATGCGATGGAAAGCATAACACACAAAATGATGTCTGTTTGAGAAGTCAATTTGGCCTGTTTTTGGCTTACAAAAAAAAGAGACGGTAAAAATTGGAACATAGTTTTTTATTTTTTACTGATCAATTTGTTATTTGTTTCTACAAGAATTAAGTATTTTGAGAATTTAAAACCCAAAGAAACCACTCGAAACGGGAAATAATTAAATTATTACTGCGATCGCCTTGACGTGAAATTATGTTCTGAGACAACGAGATATTTGAGACAAAGCCGGTGTAAAAAAGTTAGAAAAATTCCTGTTGTGATAATAAACAATTTTAATTAAGGGCGAAAATTTCCCAAAATTAAAATTCTTTAAAACCACCCCAATCTGTCCGTATTGTTTTGTGCTGGACAGCTGTGGCTTTGTCTCAAATATCTCGTTGTCTTGGAACGTAATTCCACGTCAAGGCAATTAGTCGCAGTACTAATTTAAGAATTAAGTAAATGCAAAATTAAATAAATATATTGTCTATACATTATATAAATGAATTTAATTAGCTTTTTTTTCAAATTGCTTTAATACTTTTTATATTTTGATTTTTATTAATTTTTAACATTTGTTTGTAACAGATTTTTAAATATTATTATTAAATATGAGTAAAAAAAATAGATATTTAAACTTTGCCTGAAAAAGATTGAAATATAGAGTAAATTTTTTAAATGGAAGCAAATTCTATTGATTAACTGAATTAATGTTATGGATAATTGGATAGCCGTGTGCACTAAAATTATGGAAATTACAATTAAATAAACAGGTGAATTAATGATTTCTCCCAAAAGATCTTTCAAAATGTGTTGTGTTGAACTACAAAAGTTAAGCCTAAAACAGGCTTTTAAAAGAAAAGAAAGAAATAATTTTTTTGTTAAATTTTCTATTTTGAGAGCGATTTTTTTTATATACATTTTAGCAGATTTTTTCTATTTCTAATCGACAAAAGTAAATTGGTACATACTTTTCTGCAAATTTCATTATTATTTTTTTTTGTTAGCTTTTTAGCACAAAAGTAACTTGACAAGGGACTTTTTCATAGAAAAATTGTCATTTTTTTTTCTTTAAATATATTTTTAAACCACCTAAAGTGTAATCATTTTTTTTCCTTCATTGATTTAGATTTGAATGCAAAGTGATTTTGATTGTGTTGGGTCATTAAACCATTTCAGATCATTTGGAAGCAAATAATATGCTCGAGGGCTACAGATACGTCTGCCCGAACGTCTTGATAAAAGAGGAAAAATCTAGTCTCGGCCGTCGTCAATAAATATAAATAGAGACGCAGCAGACCGCGAGTAAACGTCTCGCTGGCCGAAATTGAATTTGCTGCAGAGGGGTGCGGGATTTACGACGGCCACCCATTTAATGGCGCTCGTTACATGGCGTGAAAATTGTCAGAAAAACAATGATGGCTGCGTCGAATTGATATTACTCTGCTGGGGCTGTAACCGTAAAATTTGGATGCAAAAGACGCCAGATTCTCGCTTAGCCTTTGATTCCACCTTTAGTCCTCCCTACTATGCCATTGTCTCAAGAAAGTTTGATCAGCCGGAGGGTGGGAAGTGGCAATTAATTATACTTTGCCTATGCAGAGCTAATTTCTAAAGGAGTATTTTCATCTATTGATCTTCAGTGGAACTACTAAATTTTTGTCTCTTTCTACTTACGCAGCATTCTCTGAACTGCTTCGCGTCGATGGGAGAAGTGAAGTTGAGGCCCCACGTGTCATTTGTCATGGGATCCTTCCAATAAACGAAACATTCCGACGCTTGTCCGATCCGTGTGCCTGGAATTCGAAATGAGACGCTAGAGAAACACAATTTTACGGTGTGCCAAGAAGATATGAAAAAGGTTTCACACGTTTTCAGGAAATTAAAATTTCACAATCATAAAAAAGCATGTATAGAAAAATAAAAAATAAAATTGGTGGAGCTTTTTAAGTTGTGATAAAGCTTAAAAGTAGCTGATTTAAATGCAAATTAATAAAATGTTAAAGATGCTCTCCGGTCAAGTGTATTGCTCTCTGTTCTGAAAGATTGCCCAATTTTGAGCATATCTTGTGAAACACTATTTGAAAATTCCAAACCGTTGCGTCTCAATCAAAAGAAAAACCTAAATACGAGTGATTCGCGCGAAAAACGTGTGAGAATTGAGTAGCCAATCAGATCCATCAGTTTGTTCCAAAAACTACAGCATTTGGTCACATTGGCGCTCCGATCGCTGATTTTGCCACAAATGCCCCATGGCGCTGAAGAAAACTTAGCAAAATCAGCGATCGCAGCGCCAATGTGACCAAATCCTGCAGTTTTTGTACAAAACTGATGGATCTGATTGGCTACTCAATTCTCACACGTTTTTCGCGCGAATCACTCGTATTTAGGTTTTCTTTTGATTGAGACGCAACGGTTCGGAATTTTCAAATAGTTTTTTCACAAGATATACACGAAATTTAGCAATCTTTCAGAATAAAGAGCAATACAATTGACCGGAGTGGATCTTTAATCCAAAAAAACTTAGAGAAGTTCATTTGCTGAATCTAGTAAATTTTCATAATTTAATAGCATGCATATATTAAATTAAAAGAAATTAAATGAATTGAAGTCAAATTAAAAATTAAATTGTTTAAAAAATTAAAAACCATCACCCATCACCATAATCTGATGAGCTAAAATTCATTATTTACTAAAGCTTAATTATTTCAGAATTAAATTGATCTGATTCAATAAAAATTTGATCTAAATATTTACTTTCGATGCTGAATTTTGAAGGAGTAAGATCATGAGTTTTTTTTTAAGTTTCAACAGCACATTCAAAGTTTCAGGTTTGATGGAGCAAAATTTACCTGGCTGCACGAGTCGGACATCGAGGATTTTGTCGACTTGCGAGTTGTAGGCAGTAATGTGGAAAACACAGTCGGGCGAGTCCTGAATGCAGGTGATGTTGACGGGTACCAGGTCTTCTGACACTTGCTGCCATTTCACGGTACCCGCGCCGCTGGCGCTCACGTGGAATACCTCGGCCCAGAGTCTGCTTCAGGTGCGAAAACAAATACCAAGTTCAATATATCAAAGTCGGCCTGCTGACCGAGCGGCTAGGCAGCTGGACGGACGTGCCTGCCCACCGGGTTGCCTAGTGCGTATAAATTAAGGGGCCGTCCTAGCTTGCTTGACAAAACTCGCACAGCGCCGGTCTTTATCTGCCCGTCGAACGAAAACGGGCTCGGAATCGTTAAAAGCGGCGAGTTGCAGGTGTATTTGCACCGAATCCTTCTTTTCTCTATCAGAGCGAGTTGATTTATTGCGCTATTGTGTGGCGCGTGTTACCAATGATTTCGGTAGTCAACGGACTTGCTTCTAGTGGAATGACAGGTAAATAAGCGCTCCTTCTGCCTCAGCAAATACATTTATCGAAATTTATGTTTACTTTGCTTCAAAGAGATTTACTTTCCTGTCAAAACAAAAAACTTGTTACAACTTTTTTATTGACCCTGATATATCGCGTGTGGATGTGACCGTTATTATATACAACTGAACCATCAATTTATGTAGATCAAAATTTCTAAAATAAACAATAAAAACGATTATGTGTTTGAAGAAATTTTCACTCGAGGAGATGAAATTGGAAGCTTTTTCCTCGTGGTAAATTTTGCTATTAAATGAAAAACGGCTCAACCAGTTTCAGTCACGGTCTGCAGCCCTATTTCATGAGCTAGAACAGAAAAAATAATCAAAAGAGCAAAATTTTTTACTCTTAAGATTTTGATTTTTTCATTCTAAAAATGAGTGTTTTCAATTTATATTATTATGTATTTTTCTTGCTCATGAAATAGGCAGACCGTGACGGAAACTGGTTTTTGATTTAAAAAATTTTACGAGTAAAAACACGAGCTCTTCACTTCCAAAAACGATATAGCTAATAATTTAAAATATAATTTAACGCTTATTTATTTAATGGTTTTTTATGTTCAAACCACAACTTTGCTACAAATAAGTATCACATCCTTAATAAAAAAGACCATAAATTGAAAAAAAAACGAAAAAAAAAACTAAGAATTACATTGTGGTGACGCCTCATAAGTCAATAAACCATAAGGTAAAAAAAAACAGCTAGTTCAATTAAATTTTTCTCAATCAAATTCTTTGCAGAAGAAAAGTCTCGCAAACAAATTTTTTATTTTATACTATATTAAAAGAAGAATACAATCATAATCACTCTTGTTTGTATGTATCAGAAACAAAAAAATTTGCTAAAAAAAAAAAAAAATATTTATAACACAAAACAAAAGTGATTAAAAAGAATTTTTCCTCATCATATATAATGACAGTTTTGATGATTTTGAAAAATTTGACACCGACTCCTATTTTGTGGCATTTTAAATTTTTACTTAGAAGGATTTCATTTAAATGATATTTGATTTTTGTGTGCGCTCTGCGAATTTTCTCAAGCAATTAAAACGTCGAAGAATTTTGAGTCTCACGTATCAAAAAGCGAGAGGGATTTGAGACTGACCTTAGCAGGTGACCATCTCTGCGGCGCGAGGTCTGCCAGGGCGAGTCCTCGTAGCGGTACGCCTTGCGTATGAGCGGCGCGCAAGAGCAGCTCAGCTTGTTGCCCATCGCAGGGTTGGCTGATGCCTGCTGCTGCGCCTGTACTCGTCACCACGCCGCCTCACCTGAGGTCGCTGCGCCGCCCGCAGCGTTCCCCATTACGCCTCCAGCCTGAAACATGAAACGTTCAAATTAAAAAAAGGTCAGTTACACTCAACTCGAATAAAAATAATAATTATTGTTAATTAAAAAAGTACCATTTCTTGTAAATTGGAATTTTTGTATTCTGATTGTCCACTTTTGTTTGCAAATCACTTAGTTTTCTTATGAATATATGTGAATCTTGCAAATTTGTTCGGAAATTTCCCAATTACTTTACTAAAACTGCGAATGTTCATTTGTATCAGGATTGAGCCGCGGTATGATCGGTTTGTGAGATTGTTAACGGATTTTGTGTCTGCACATAAATTTAACTCCGAACTTGTGTTTCTCGATTACTTAAAGAACTTGTAAATATGTTTCTTTTGTTTGATCTTACTCTATCTTTCATTTGACCCGGTTGTAAATAAGTGAATTACGACGCAGACATTACATCACTTATGACACAATAAAAAAGAGAAGAAGGAAGGAAAATGAAGTAGTTCAATAGAGTTTTATTTATAGGTTAATTTGTGCCAATAAACCCTTAATTTTGTTGATTTTGACCTGCTTTTTTGTCTATTTGTTTACGCTCCGGGAATTTTTATTTACAAACTTTGTGAGTTTAATATGGACGGATCTGGACAAAGTTTAGTCTGCGGTCGTGCACCCATCTGATAATTGAGGGCAGCATTAAAAATAGCCGTACGAGTGGAAGTATTTTTAACTTCAAAAAGCAGCACAAGTACTTGTTCTTGAAAGATGCTCCATTATTACACACGGACGCTTCCTAATCGCTTGAAAATTGCCGCAGCTGCTAAGTATCATTTTAAACTCAGAACTCAGAGAAATAAAGAAATTTTTAAATTGCAATATTTAGTTCTGCGAAATCGCTAGAATTAAATAATATTATCAAAAAATTAATTTTATGAAAAATGGGCAATTTTATTCAGATGAATAAATTAATTTTTGGAATATTTATCACTATCAATAATTTAAAACTTAAAAATAAATTTAATACACATAATATGAGCGTTTCCGAGTGAATTTGAAGGGCGATTGGAAGATTTTGGACTAGGCAGAACCTGTGTATGATTTTTATACATGTTTGAGAGGGTGCCCAGGGGTGTCCACACACAAATTTTCAGACCTCTAAAAAGGGGCGTTACCCAAAATTTCGGGACTTGAAAAATGGGCAAAAATTATTTTGGATTTGCTATAACTTTGGAACGGATAAAGTTATATTGACGTTCTCAACTGTTCCTGACGTAACTTTTTACGCTGAACAACTTTGCTGTTGACACCAAAGTTGTATTGTTAAGGGAAATGTCACTTTCAGGTGACCTCTGACCAAAATGTCAAATTTTGACAGGGAACGCCCCCTTCGATTTTTTTCCAGGTATAGGAAAAAATGTAGCCCATGAAATTTTACATCACATATGTCAAAATTAGAACAAGGTTATTTTTTGTTTTTGAGTAATTAATCGTTGAATAAGAAAAAACGCGTCCGAGGAGGGTCGAAAATTTTGAGGTTATTTCAAAAATCGAAGGAAACTGTAAAAAATCGTGTCGTGTATGTTGCTTTTGCCTTACTTGAATATTTATGATACAATGGAACATTGCTGACTTGATTTAGTTATGTTTTTGTTAATTCTTTAATTTACCTCTAAATTTTCGACCCTCTTCGGACGCGTTTTTTCTTATTCAACGATTAATTACTCGAAAACAAAAAATAACCTTGTTCTAATTTTGACATATGTGATGTAAAATTTCATGGGCTACATTTTTTCCTATACCTGGAAAAAAATCGAAGGGGGCGTTCCCTGTCAAAATTTGACATTTTGGTCAGAGGTCACCTGAAAGTGACATTTCCCTTAACAATACAACTTTGGTGTCAACAGCAAAGTTGTTCAGCGTAAAAAGTTACGTCAGGAACAGTTGAGAACGTCAATATAACTTTATCCGTTCCAAAGTTATAGCAAATCCAAAATAATTTTTGCCCATTTTTCAAGTCCCGAAATTTTGGGTAACGCCCCTTTTTAGAGGTCTGAAAATTTGTGTGTGGACACCCCTTGGCACCCTCTCAAACATGCATAAAAATCATACACAGGTTCTGCCTAGTCCAAAATCGTCCAATCGCCCTTCAAATTCACTCGGAAACGCTCATATGTAAATTTAAAAAAAAAATACAATATATTAAAAATTATAATTTATTTACTCTTATTTTAACAAGAATTTTTTACAAAACTAATTATAATCAAGCAAGTTATTTTTCATTCCTAATTTTGCACATTAAAAATAATTATTTACTTTACTATTGATGGTAATTTCAGGTAATTTATATCTTAAAATCGGAATATGGAATACATGAACTGCTCATTTGTTCATTTAGTATCATTTGTTAAGGGAAAAACCGCAAGAAATATTTTCAATTTAAAAATTAACGCCAAATGAAATTTTTCGTTGAGCTTGGCATGAAATGTGGGAATGGAATAATTCATAAAATTTTAACATCCCAGTGCAAATATGTTGGCGAAGAGTCAGAATCAGGGTCAGGGTCGCTCCGAGCTGGGAGCAAATCAGCCCTTGGCAGGCGAGAGTCATCTGGTTTTGAGTCCGACAGAGTTCCTTTTGTTTTATCTGGGTCATGCTAATTCAGCAATGCCAATGGAAGGGAGCGCCTGCTCGTCCTCTCTCTCTATCTCGCGATATAGCCACTTTTTTCAATATTCGCAGCGGCACTTGTGGAAATCTGCCTCCGCATGATCAATACGCGTGCGACGGGAACGCGAAAAATATTGACTCGCCGCCTCTACACTGACGGGACTGGCTTTTGCATTCGCGCAAAATAAATATGTGCGCTGCCTGCGTGTGTATCTGGCGTGAAATTAATTTCAGTCCTCGTGGACCACGAGCCGGCCGCGCATTATTGATTTCCCTGCATTCTTGCACACACGCTTTGCGTGAACGTTCGGAGAGCGACGCCTTCGATTTTGCACTTCGAAATTGAATAAATTTATTTATGGTCAACAACAATTTACTTTTGAAGCGATATTAAATTTGTAAGAACAAATAAAGGTTTTTTGATATGAAAAAAAAAAAAAAATAGAAAACACTCGGCAATCGCAAAATCATGAAGTTGAATACTTGAATAACTAAATACTTTTCATTGTAAAATTTAGTTTCATTTAATTTTTGTATGCAAATCCTATTCTAATGGCTTTTTTTATAATGTTTAATTTATATTTTATATATTTATGAACCAGTTTGAATGACTACGAAATTATTATTTGATTATTAGTCTTCTGGTTCAACTCTGCTATGATGAATATGCGTGCGAACAGTTCATGAAAACATACAGAGCACCGCTGCAGCTCCATCAAAAACTTCAAGCGCCGCTCGATCAAACCAACCGGTTTTCGATTGGTCGAAAAAGCAGAAACCATTAATCACCGATCCTAATCAAATATACATATGTGCGAACAGCAGTGGTGTTAAAATGCGCTTGCTCTATTTAAAGTCGAGGTTAGTTTTCACGCAGTAAATTATAATTATAAGATCACGAAGTTTGAGTTTTTTCAATGTCTATTGAGACTCTACAGAAAGCTAAAATTTTTGTATATAAAATAATCTTTGGGGGTTCATTGCCCTGGAAATATCTGGCTAAGTCATAGTATGAAAATGACTCCTTTGCTTAATTAATTTCTGAATTTTTTGTTTATTAAAATTAAATTTCTCCCATCAATGTTTTCATTTTTTTATGAATTAATCCAACTTAGTTTTAGTTCAGACACAAAAAACCTTAGGATTTTCAAAGTACCAGTGGGTCACCTTTTGGGGTCAGTTGTCATTGATTTTTTCTTTGCAAACAATTTCTCCCGGTTTAAATTATTTTATTTTATAAAATGATCATTCTAATAGCTAAAAAAATAAATTGGAAATAGTTGCGATTGTTAGATCTTAATTTCTTATACATAATTTAAAAAAACTTCAAAATGGGTAAATCAAGTATCCCTTCCTATTGTTATCTGATTTTTAATTATTCAAATTAAAGTAAACGTTAGGTTAATTTCATTTATGAGCTCAAATTAATTTTTTATGTCTCTACTTTTACTTTTTTTGAGACAAATAACGATAAATTTGGGCTTGCATATTCAGTTAGTGCAAAATATAAAATTCACGATTATATCCAGACTTTCAAAATGATGAAGAGGAAAAGGGTAATATTTCGGGGTGCTTGTCGGGCTAGAAGACAAATTGGCGGAGACGTCCGTATGCAAAACATCATCAGCAAAGGCCGGCTGAATTAGAGAGCACGAATGGAGTTGGTCTCGGCTGCAGAAGCAACCGGATGAGGGTGCGAATTAATAATTCACACCTGCAGGTGAGAGAGCGAGTTTGGCGGCGGCGAGGCTGAACTTGCAGATATCGAGCCGGGCTCCGACACTTTTCGTCTTTTGCGACTCCCCGAAGACGTGCGAACGAGTTTACATGATGGCACACGCCATTATGGCTCGCTGAGTATTATCAAATTAGCCCCGCCAATTCGGCCCCGCAACCGAACCTGCCGCCGCCGGTGAAGCAGATAACGAGCAGAAAAGAGCGAATTTCATGCATCACGGCCTCACGACACGACGTCTTCCCTTTTTCGCCGAGCACGATCATCCGATTTGCACTGCGATTGTCCGCTGCAGGTTGAGAAGTTTCACGGAAAAAGTGATTTAATATTGCCATTTACAGTACATATTGAAACAAACGGAAATAAGATACAAACATTTTTTTTTATTGTAAAAAAATATTTTGGTTTAAATTCTTGACAAAGGCCGCGCATCAGCTCTATTATGTTGGCCAAAAAAAAAGATGTCTTCCGCCTGAGCCATAAGACCCCATGGCTCTGACGGCAGCCGTGTACCAACATAATTTTGGGATGCGCAGCCTTTGATTCATGATTATTATTATTTAACTTTAAAATATTCATTTTATTTCTCAATTATTTAATTTTTTTTAATAAATCATATATGTATAATATTTTT